CCGGGCTGCGGGGTCGGCCCGTGGGGATCCTGGAAACGGTCCCCAGCTTATCTCCTTTCATCAAGCGGCCTTGGGCCGCCTTGAAACCGCGGAGCCAGTAATTGCTTTTTTCAGGAGGCCCAGTGCGGACTGGACAGCAGCCAATCAGCGCCTTGTTTACACTCGGTGATTGACAACCTGATGGCAGAATGCCAACCAATCCCAGTAGTCTCCAGGGGGCGGGGGGAGGGAAGAAAGGAGGCAACAGACGGGTTTGCATTTAACTCTTTCCTGCCGCTACAGGAATAGGAAGGTGGAGAGTTTCCAAAGCTTGTGAATGTAATGGTTGACATTTAGGTTAAAGACTCCCCCCCCCCCCCGTGAAGGGGAGGTAGATTCATATAGAAAACGTGGAGGGGAACTAGGGTAGCTATCGCCATTAACACATCATCTCAACTTCCTGAGAATACATAGCATTGGGGGAAGGGGCAATAGCCCTGGTAGCACTGTGGTTAAACTCTTTGCTGCCAACCGAAAGGTCAGAGATTCAAACTCACAAGATGCTCTCTAAGAGGACGCTGTGGCAGTCAGAACGGTTTTTGTTTTTTTAAAGAAGGAAACCAGATTATAATAGAAATATTTAATTGAGAAATACGAAGACTGTGGCTTGCATCTCAATGATGACAAAGATAAATGCTCCTTGGAGTTTAAAAACAAACAGGCAAACACAACGGGGCGAAAGCAGCAGACACCCGCAGGAGAGCCGCACTGACACCTCCTCCTCCTCCCCTGACTGTCCTCCTAACAAACCCCCCAGGTGACCAGGGTGGACATACTACAAAAATCTAGCTGCAGACAGGAAACGGTAATCCTCCTTTAAGCAATGAATCCCGATTTTGATTTTGATTGCAGTTCTGTTCCAAAGTGTGGCAGAGGAGATAAAAACAGAGCTGCCTTACAGCTGGTCAGCGACGCACCAGGGGCGGAGGCCAGGTAGGCCGCTCTGCAGCCTGAGCGTGAGAGCATCCACGAGCCTGTGCATTGCCGGGAGATTGAACGCGAGACCACCGAGTGGAAGGAGGACCTGACAACCTAGAGAGCCTCCTCGCTTTGGGGTCCCGCCTACCTGCACCCCAGTAGCCACCTGCCGAACAGATTCTGCTGTGAAATGATTCCATCTTCTCTCACGGGTATTGCTGTTTCCTCATCTGCTCTTCTGTACACCAGAAGCTAAACGACAGAGCTGCTGGATTTAAAAAAAAAAAAAAAAAGCCAAAAACAAACACCCCAACAGCAGCCTCCCTCCGCCCGGACACGCGCCCTCACTCACCCCGGCTCGCGCTCCCGCCCTGCGCCACCGCATTCCCATTCAACAGCAGTGATCTGCGCAGAGGAGCTGCGCAGTCGCCCGGCTTGAATTAGGCGCCATCGGGCTCGGTAGTAGCCCTGCTGCTCCCTGATTGGCAGCTCCCTGGCCCCGCGCCAGCCTATTGGGAGGCCTGTTTACGCCAAATGAGTGGCACGAGCTCCCGGCCGCGGAGGGCTGCGCGGCCAATCAGCGCGCGGGCTGCTCGGGGCTGAGTGGCACGAGCTTATTAGTATGCAGGGCCCGTGGCTCGCCGCGCCGGGCTGCAGGTTTGAGAGCCGCTCTGGATGGGCTTGCTAGAGTCGTTGTTGTGGAAGCGGTGCGTGCACGGCGCAACAGTCAGCACATTGAAAATACCAATAGGAATACAAAACAAAGTCCCATTTACCGATTTAATTGTATTGCATTCAATTGTATCCAGAAAACAGCCTCCAGTAAGTAACTGAAATTGCTTTCATTTTTTGCTTTTGTCTTTTTGTTATTTTTTTTTTATTTGGCTTTGGGTATTTACATATATAATTTTTTTTTCCTTAGCGAGATAAATCCAGGGTTCTGATTGTAAGAAATAAATGGCTTCCCTTTTAAAAAAAATCCGTTAGGAGGTCGTGCAGTCTTTTTTTTTTTTTTTTTTTTTTAAGATAGACTAGAGAAGAGAGCGATTTTTCCCCCCCCTCTCTGAAAAATCTTATCGATCGGTTTAAAATTCCCCCGTAACGCCTTGCTTTGCTGGGAGCGCTAGTCATCTCGATCGACACCCAGCATTAAAAATAAATAATCGCGACCCGACAAGGGGTAGCGGGCTGCGTCGGCTCCAGCCACGCCGTGGCTCCGGGTTCTGGGGTCGGACTGTGGCCGCAGATCCGGTGCCACCAACGTGGGCTCAGTTCTATGGAACCACGAATGAACCCCAATTGTTTGCCTCCCCTCCTTGGCCCCCTCCCCCTGACCAGTCCTGGGTCGGCTCCGCCCGGTCGCTCAGCGGACGAGGAGCCGGCTGGCTCCTTGTGACCATGGCCATTGCCCGGAGGGGCTCCAGCCTCGGCCTGGGCGCAGCGTGGGCCCCGAGGGTTAAGATCGAGTCTTTCGGGTCTCGCTTCGCGGAGCCTAGTTAATTTAGGAATTGTTTTGGGGGGCGGGGAGTGGGGGTTGTGCACTGGAGGGGACTCAGGGAGGTGGAAGCAGGGGGCAGGTTTGAGGTCGCGCGTGGCGGGCAACGCACGGGGCCCCGGCCGCGTGGCGGGGTTCGTGGGCGGGTGAGCCCCGGGCGCGGGGGTCCCGGCCTTGCCGCCTCTCCTGCGGCCAGGCGCGGCCGATTCGCAGGGAGCGGGTTCGGAGACGCGGGAGTGGCCAGTGCTCGCCGCGCGCTCGGCGGGTGGGGCCTGCAGGCCCACGGGGTGGGCGCCGGAGAGGCGGCGGGGCTGGGGCCGGGGTCCCCAGCGCGGCAGACGCCAGCGCGGCCTTTTAGATGCACAAGTTCAGAACAAAGCAAACCTGAAGAGCCAGGGAGGAGGGCGCGCGGCCCGATCAGCCGCCGCCGCCTGGCCTGGGCCTCGGCGTTCCGCTCCCGGGGCTCTCCGGCGGACCTCGCTCCTGTTTCTGCCCGGTGTCCTCCCTGCTGCCAGCTGCCTGGGGCACTGGACGGGTCCGCTGCACTTGGCCTCGGCGTCCGGAGCTAGGGGAGCGGCCTGGGCCGGAGCCTTGAGGACGCCGCGCCTGGGCTCCGGCGGGGCTCCGGGTGGCAGGCGGCCGCGGTGCTCGCTCTCCGCCGGGCCGGGCTCTGTCTTCAGGCCCCGGGAGCCGCGCTGGCAGCCGGACGACGCGGCGCGGCTGCAGGAACAAAGGCCCGGGCCCTCTGAGCGGCGGCCGCGCGGAGCAAGCTCGCCGCCGCCCGCGCGGGCGACAAAGGCCGGCGAGGGCCGGCATCGCCGCGGGGCGGAGTCCAGGCTCTGCTTCGGAGCCAGCCCGCGTCCGGAGAACCACGCGCAGCTCCCGCGCCTTCTGGGCAATTTCGGAATTCATTTTTGGAAAAAACCAAAACCTCAAACAAAAGCTGAGCACACCCGCCTCCCCGGGGGGCCCGCGCCCCGCGCTCAGCCCGGGCCCCGCTCGCCCTCGGCCCCTTTGAAGCTGCAGGCTCGCGATCGCCCTCCCCTTTCTCCGATCTCTTTGTCCCGCCTGGCGCCCCCGGGGCTCGCTCGGCGCCGGCCCCAGCTACAGCCCGCAGGCCCCGGTGGCGATGCCCCTCCCCGCCTCGGCAGGCAACCCCTCATCCCCTCGACGCGCGCCACCGGCCTGGCCCCGGGAACTGGCGTTCCAGGCCTGTGCGCCGGCGACTGATTTGTTAGAACCGGGGAGAGTGCCTGTGGTCCCCAGGGGGAAGGTTCCCCACACGCCTTTGTAAGAAGATGAGAGGAAGGGGCCTCTGTGTCGTCCCTGTTTGTTTACAATGCAAAAGGCTCTTCGAATAAATAAGGGGGAAAAAAGCTTATCAACTGAGCAAATATGTATTCTCTAATACATTATGTTTTCGGTTTATAGATTAAATCAGACACAAAATAGTCTGCGAATAAGACGTTGTAGAAGGCCGAGCATTAAATATAGCAACTGAAAATGGTATTCACGAAATGGAAACCATCTTCATGTCTCCTTGACACAGTGGGATAACGTAACACCCCTCCCCAAATACATAGGCACGGTTTTCTGGAAAGTTCAGTTGAGAATATTGAACCTATGCTTCTCGCTGTTGCTGTGGGCCTTGTTAAACATTAAGAAAACACTGATTTGAGGAGGGGGAGGAATATGCAAAATACTGGCGACCCCGAGGCCTAGGGGCCCGAGGCTCCCAGCCGCGCAGCCTTTCGGTTATCTTTCTGTACCTCTCTCTGAATCTGAATGACCCCTGGTTCCGCCAGGGGGGAATCTCTGTGTTGGGGGGGACTTGGTGAGAAGAGAGGTGGAAGGCATTTTCCGCCGGCCCCAGAGGAAGGTGGGGGTGGGCGACAGCAGGGAGGGTCTGGTCTGCTGGGACCCCATTAGGGACAAGGCACTGGGCTCGCATTTCCCAGGTGCCCGGGGAGGAGGCGGCTGGGCTCTGCAGGAGAAAGTGCGTGGTTTACTGGGGCGTCGAGAGGACAGTTTCTGGCCCTTAAGGCTCCCCCTTCATCTGCAGAGGAAGATCCTGGACCAGTTTGACTGGGGGGCAGGGTGACCGTTCGAGGTTCCCGGGAGAGCCTGGCGTGGGGCTGCAGGCCGAGCGCTGCGGCGGGGGCCAGGTGACGGCGGCGGGAGCCCGGGTCCAGGAAGGGACTCTGGGTCCGAGCGCGGGGCCGCGGGCAGCAAACCGGGTCTGGCTGGGGCGAGGGGCGCGGGGTGGGGGGGGCGGGCGGGTTCAAAAGACTGGACCGAAAGCCGCATGGCGAGGGGGATGGGAAAAGGAAGGTTATAAAAAAAGACTCTTGAGTTACAATCAATAAAATTACTCGCTTAATTAACATGGTTATTCGGTTAAGCGGAATGTAGTAAAGCCGGACCTCAGAGTAAGGGGGGGGTCGCAGAGCGAGCGTGCACCCCCGGCCTTTGCCGCCCAGACACCTTCGGGCAGCGGGGGAGGGGAGAGGGCGTGCGTGTGGGGTGTGCGCGGGGCTGCGTGTGCGTGATGGCCGCGCAGATTCGGGCTTTGATCAGCGCCCGGAGCCCGCAGCTTCGCCGCCGCGGCGCCCTCGCCGCAGGGAGCGCAGGGACGCGGAGGGAGGCGCGCCCGGCTCCGGGCCCCGACTGCCCGGGTCGTGCGGGCGCCCGAGGGTGCGTGTGCGCGCGGGCCCCGGGCCTGCCGGCAGCTGGGTGGACCCCGGCGGCCGAGACCCCCGTCACTGAGTCTCCTCTGTTTGCCTCCGCAGACCATGGACCCGCACGGCGGCCGTGGGCGCGGTGCGCGCCCGCCCGCCGAAG